ACTAAACTACAAGACTTTTTCAAAAAATTTTATGAAAATTCTAAAAAATCAGATTTCATGAAACTTTGAAAAAAAAATCATATTTCTCATTAAGTGACTTATTAGATCAATATGCTGTTTTTTTCTTGATGGTTAGTTAGAGCTTAATTTTTTGTTAAAAATCCCCTAGAGTTGTGGTTATTTGTTACCTCGGCCCCAACAGTTGTGTATTTGTGCAATTTCCTCTATTTTTTGTAGAGGAAGTCATGATGGCAGTTTTTATTCATTTGGTGGCTTTCACGAGGCATGACTTGTGATAGAGGCCTCTTTGTCGGTGGGCAAGGGCGGCGGTGGTTGGTGGGCTTGTCGGCACTAGTGCAGGTTGATGTGTGCCCGTGGTTATGTCGGAGGCTTGGGTGAAGACCATATCTTGACTTGGTGTCGTGACCAGTGATGACGGCAACTACAATCGTCATTCACCTTCCTGAAGTCATCGCTACACTGTTGTCGCACCCCTACCGCGTGTATCCGGTCACACTGCAGCTTCGAGGGGGGCTCTTGATCTTGTTTGATCGAACGATGACGGCGCTTTGGTGCCGTTTTCCCCTTGGGGTCTTCGTCTTTGGAGTTGGGCATTAGTGGGCGGGACCTGTGAAAGGTGACGGTGTTTGCGTCTAGGCTTATGTGGCAATGATGATGGGGGGAGTGTTTTCGGAGACACGGCTATAGTTGAGGTAGTCGGCTCTTCTCCGACGTGTCCGTGTGATCGCCTTAGCTTGTTTGTTGCTACGAAGTCAAAAATGCAGTGGCGGGGTCCCAATGACGTGCGATGACGGGTTCATGGGCAGCATGTGGTCCGTTGGGTGATCTTCCACATCGCCAATGGTGCCTAGTTCTCCTTCATAGTTCTCCGTCAAAGTCAGAGTTAGCAGTCTAGTTGTGGATGACTGAGTTCTGACGCGGATCTTCATATAGCTCCACACTCTCTCTATAGTGTGTGTTGGGTCGACGATCGCCTATGCGAAGTCGGAGTCATTTGCCCAAGGTTTAAGGATGGGCCTGCTGGGGGAGGAGTGATGACGATGTCACATGCGTATTGTCTCAAAATATGATTCATTGTGTTTGATTATTGTATAATTATATTTTCAATTAAATATAAACAACATATTATAATAGAAATTCTCATGCATGTTTGCATGTTGAGGTGAACCTTTTTCGGGTGAGGCTCACATGCAGAGCTTCCATCAGGAATTATTGTGCAGGGTCAGTAAATGGATGACATGTGTCCTCGCGGGTCAACACCTCACCATTTAGGTTAGATTTTTATCATGGGAGAGGAGAAGATGCACGGCCGAATTTTCTTTCTTTCTTTCTTGGAGTTGACTCGCACAAAAATGCCAGGCCCAAAAATGTGGCGGCAACTAATGGGTGTCCCACAATCAGAAAGTGATGCTACATTATTGTACCTACCACAATTCTTTCTCTGCACCACTTTTGCAAGTGCAGGCGCAGTTCATCTGCATTTCACGGCTCGTTCGTTTGCAGGGTCCAATCGGGATGACATGAGCGTTATCCATCCACCCCCCAGACACGGGACGGCATCCGGTTCTCCGGCTGCTCGATTGGAATCCCGTTTCTCCGGGGCTTCCCAGATATGCTAAGGCCAGACGGGACCTATATCTGGCAAGCAAAACCACATACAACGACCGAGCCAGGTGACCCGGCAGGCGATCCTGTCTCACACTCACCCTCGGCGCGCATATATTCTTGTTTCACCGCCTCGTGTTGGGTCAAGACTTGACGTTGCTGCATTGCATGGAAGTTGTGAGAATTGGCGTACGTGTTTACGGGTGGTTGCAGAGAAGAAGCGGACAAAGCAGAGCAGGCATAAGGCTGCAACCAGCCAACCAGGCAAAAAGCAAAAAAAAAAAAAACAGAAGCATGCACAGAAGCATTTTAACAACTGGCAAAGTGGCTCCTCTATTTTATTTTATTTTAATTCAATTTCCTAGTAGGCAACTAGAGCCAAATTGCTTGGAACCTTCTCTGTTCTTTCGCCAGGAACGCTCAAAACCAAGGCTTACTACGTGTCGCTGCATCGCCATTGTGTTGTGCTGGTGCAAAAATGGTCCCTGCTTTCTCATTCTAGATAGGCAAGCTCATATTTTAATTACTCCGTTAACCCACCTTTTGAACCATATGATGGCCGTTGGCTCCAGATCCTTATCTCAGTTTTGAGGCTTTGATGCTCCGTTTCTTCTTTATTTATACTAATAACTAGCACCACGAAACGAACTTAGCCACTGTTCGGGCTCGCAAAAGCCAGATCCTTGTTTATTTATTTACCGAAAATTTACGAAAAGCCAGATCTTTGAGCCGCATAACTAAAACGTACGCGCGCACGCAGGCGGAGATACACAAGAAATCATAAAGGAAAAGAAACAAAAGAAAGGCGAAAACGACGCATTCGGCAAGCGCATCCCGGGGATGCGAGTGCACAAACCGCTTTACGTATTATTCGTGGCGATCGATGGTGCGTGGTTAAGTGTCGTACTACTAGCAGCAGCACTAGTGGCCCTCCCTCTCGATCCATGAACGGAGTGCTGTGCTGCGGCCAGGGCCGGGCTGCCACTCGATCTGCCAGGAACGGGAGCCCAACGGCTGTCCGCCTGCCTCCATCGGCGTCGCCTCAATCATCCAAACTCCTCTGCTTTCTACAAAGCGATCGCCGGGTTCCGTTCGTTCGTATGGCGTCACCTTTCCGACCACCCAAAGCCGGTCGATGAGATGCTGCTGCCACAAATCTAGAGCAACAGTGTTTCCGGGTCTGTGGACAACGCAGAGATAGAGATGCGTGCCATTTGCTTTGGGTACATGCCCGGCTGCATGGCATGGGTATCTGAAACCTGGGTCTGGTTGTAGTACTAACGAATACTCCCTCCGCATCTAAATATAATTTTTTTTCTAGAGATTTTAATATGGAGTACATACGGATGTATATAAACATATTTTTGAGTGCGGATTCACTCATTTTGCTCCGTATGTAGTCTGTATTAAAATCTCTAAAAAGACTTATATTTAGGAACAACTCCCTCCGCAAACTAATATAAGATTTTTTAGATCACCATATGTGCGTAAACTTGTTAGATAGTACATGATATTTCATATTTGAAAGTTGAAACAAATTTTGGTTGTACCAACAAATGTAATATAATACTAATATAATATAGTACTCCTTCTGTAAAGAAATATAAGAGCATTTGTTTACGGAGGGAGTACATGTCTAGAGTTGAATCATTTGACAATGATTTTGCTATTTTTCCATGCCGACCGAGAAATAACTATTTCTGAGTTACCCCGAGAACCAAGTGCAAAAGGAAGAGAAGATATTGATCAGACTTTTCCAAGTCGACGGAGCCATAATAATTTTCTTTTGAAAACCCCCATGAGTCTATTTTCTTGATTTGGTTGCCATGTCATTATTATTTTCATTTTATTTCTCTGCTTTTCCCGGGATTTGTTGTTAGTTGTCAAATAAAGGTGTGATGGAGGCATCTTCCCCTGTTTAACTTGATTTTCTATGTGTTTTAGTTGTCAACTAAAGGTTTTGTGGGGCCACATTCCCTGTACCAATCTTTTATTCCCAAAAAACTAAAGACAAACAGTGCTGAAAGGCGTGTATGATATGCATCTCATCCACCATGTTGCTAGTTTATGTCAATGGATTTGGAAAATCCCTTTATAATCGATTTGGTACCTCAAGAGTTATTGGAATAAAGCGTGTCTACATAGACTAGATGTAGATACTAATAGGACCATGATACAAGTAAATTGTGTTAGTATTCAGTACTACCTAACTCAATCCCTTCAGATAAAGACAGGGAATTTCAGCTAACATCATGCACGCCTTATGCTCCACAGGGAGAGGGATTGTGCCTAACCCTTCCCTGTCTAAATAAGCCCTAAAATGCTGTCGCGTCCCTCCTGAATATACCCAAGGTATATGGCAAATCCGATCAAGATCTAGCTTTAGTTTTTCTTTTGGAAATCAGATGCAGGAGATAATAATATACCAAACCACCATGCATGCGTCCTTGCTCGTAGGCTCGACACCATGCTAGTGATCCAAAGTTGGGTTTACTAATCAAAGGACCTGGGATTCCCGAACAAACTCATAGGTGTCGAACTTGCAAGGCCCGAAACATTGTATAACGCTAATCTAATGGCCGAGCGCGAGTTGATCTACTTCACTGGCTCTCTAGTGGCCTAACTATTTCTGTTCGGTTATTCCCACAGTGGCTACACGTCCTGGTGTCCATCATCATCCATCAAGCAGATGTCTTGTCCCTGTGGTGGATCTCATGCCACTCTAACTGGGCGCAAGAGTTTAGTTCTGTCTCTAAGCTAAACTAATGCGGGTGACGAGAAAAGCTAGAGGCCGACCGGGCATCTAGTTGGGCCACTGATTGATGAAAAAAATTAAAGCAGGGTTTGGCGTGGATTAACTGGAATAATTAAAAATGATAATTGCGGTAGACAAGACTACTCAGGCAAGTCAAGTCATGGAATGTGCAAGCATGAGTAAATTAAACCGCAATGTTCTCTTCGGAAAGCAAAGGTTAATTGATGGAGGATTTAAATATAAGGGGCATAGTATTGTTTTGGATATAGTTGGCCCCGAAAGGAGAAAGGTGGTGGTAGTGTGTGTGCGCCTCATGGCCATGTACCAAATCGACAAGACGAAAGCCGCGAAACTCTAGAAAAAACAATGGAGAAAGAAGATGGCTTCTCCCTCTGGACTGAGGCAAACTGGCAAAGCAGGCAGAGCCGCCTTGGCTGCCAGGCTATAAAAGGAAGGCCCTCGCACCAACCCGGCCATTGCCTCCTCCGCTCACCCAGAGCTAGTTAAGCAGCAAGCAAGCCCGTCGAGAAGCGAAACCGAGCCACGATCATCGATCTGCTTTCTGGCTCCTGAGCCCAGCTCTCTCCACTCCCCATCGATCTCCACCGATCAAGCGACCATGCTGCACCATTACCACCATGGCGAAGTGGCCAGCCTGCACTGCCTCTCGCCCCCGAACCCGCCGTTCCACACCCACTACCACCACCCCGGCATGATCGCCGCCAGCATGACGCCCCCTCCGCCCTTCCACTTCTCACCGGCAGCCTACGAGTATGAGGACGAGCCTATGCTGCAGGAAGCGCTGGCTGCCATCGGCAATAACAGCCCGCCCGGCTCCGGCGGGGCTGGTGATGACATCCATGGCCAGACGCTGGCTTCGGCGGCGGAGGAAGAGCGGAGGCGGCGGAGGATGGTGTCCAACCGCGAGTCAGCGAGGCGGTCGCGCATGCGCAAGCAGCGGCAGCTCAGCGAGCTGTGGGCACGGGTGGCCCACCTCCGCGGCGCCAACCGCCGCCTCCTCGACGAGCTCAACCGCGCAATGAGGAGCTGCGGCGACGTCCGCCGCGACAACGACCGGCTCAGCGCCGAGAAGGCCGAGCTGGAGGCCAGGCTCGAGCAGCTCATGCAGCAAGCACAACAGAGCAACAACGCCTCCTCAGAGCCATGCGAGAAAAACACCACTGCTGCTGCTGCTGCCGCTGCTGAATAAACCATTCTTATCTTCTCAATTTAACTACCAGGGTCGTTAATTATTACTGTAGTATACTCAAATAAGGCGTGCGTTGAGGGGTTTGATCGGCTTAATCGTTTCTTAATTTTATTAAGATTGGGGTAATGATACATACCCTTAGCTACGTACTACTACTGCCCATTACTGTCATCTTTTTTGGCAAGGTGCAAGTGGCTAGATGAATATGGATTGGGTGTTACTGACGAGTTGCCATCAGTGGACAAATTATAGTGCAACATGATCATACGGATGATGAAACAAGAAACCGCTCGAAACCAGTGTGTAATGAGAAACCATACAATACCATTGGTTTCTTCTTCCAAAGAAAAAAAAAGCTTTCCACTGATAATGATGTGGTGACTGACGAGTGGACTAATGGCCTGTACTTGCAACAAAGCTGTATTTCCATGAAAAACAGGGGACCAGATTGTTTGGATTAATTCATGTTATCTTGAGTTTTACCCCCCAAAAATTCAGTGACTGTGTGTCTGAGAGTTGAGACAAACCAGACCCTTGTTTTAACTTCAGCGGAAAAATCTATAAGCTAAATTATGAAATTGCTGAAATCTGAAACAAAGCTAAATTCCCCTAAAAAACAACGCTAAATGATCTCACACGCAAATAAGGAACTGATAATAAGGCTTACGTACCAAATCCAGTGAGCTCATGGAAGATTCAGATATCCCAAATCAGGGTATAAAACAGTTTTGCCATTATGCGCCCTTTCAGTAGCAAGTCTCGAAGATACAAAGTCCTAAACAAAAGTGTGCAGAGTCTTGAATCAAAAAACAAGAGTCAAATTTGTATGTACGTGCCAAGAGTTAATATGAAAATTATGCAGTAACATGGCAGAGAATATAGAACCAAAAACCATACCAAAATAAACAGGATTCAGGTGCATTGCAAAATCTGCAGTTTGCAAGCTGTCATCAAATCAAGTGTCCAAGCCTGCGTGAGCGTGTGAATACAAAATGGAAAGGCATGGACCAGTGCGAGGTGCTCACGTCACAGGGACCCTGCAAAAGTGACCTGAATTGCTTCAAAAAGCAAGAGCTTTGACACATAATATACTTACACGGGTTGGGTGGACAGCCGGGGACAAGCACAATATACTGTCTTTGCGGTGGTGATGATGGAGCTTTCATCTAACAGGACAAGAACAGGAAGGAACTGCATTACCTCAAAAAGCTGTTTAAATAGAGTTAACTTTCGGATGTTGCCTATGTATATCCAGTTCTGTCTATGGTTATCTAGATAAGAATAATTGCTAGCTCAGTGCACAGGTAAATCAGGGAAAGGAAAAGGCAAGTGTTCAAATTTAGACATAAACAAGAGATGAAGGGTGTTCGACGAAGAACCGAGATGACCAATAGTAAACATTACAGTGAAATGTGAATATCACCACCATCAGCATGCTTCCCATTTGGATGTCACAAAATTAAATTCAAAGTGCATAGTGCAATCATTGTTCGCAAGAAATGCTGCTGAAAAAAGATTCGATGAAATGAATCTAGCATCGCCTAACATGCAGGACAGGCTATTTTTAAAAGATAACTTGCATGCCTCAGGTAGCATATACCTTAAGACTTAAGGCAACAAATTGTTCACAACAGATGCTGCTGAAACTGGTCCAACGAAATGAATCAAGCATCGCCGACATACATCTGCTGGACAGATTTTTATTATATGATAACTTGCATGCTTCGGGTTGTTGCATGTCTTCAGGCTTGAGAAGAACATACAACAACCCACTAGCCTGCTGTTATCCCATCAGGTCTCCTTGGATGCCTGTCTCTTGCCAGGTGTTAGATTGTTTGCTGTTGCCAAAACACCTGCATTATTCTTTGGTGAAGCTTCAGCTACCAAAGATGGAGAATCGTTCTTGGCAGAGGAATCTGCTGCTGAAGATGGAGAATCCCTCCTCTCATGGCTCTTCTCTCGGAGAAAATTTACCGGGTTCGCGTACGAACTTGTACATGACCACCTACAAACGAAAAATGGAGATGAATGCTATATTCAAATTTGATATATTTACACAAAACACAGAAAACACACCTACTTGAACGGATGGTTTCGCCTTCAACAATAGTTTCTTCTTCAAAGATTTTTCCTATTAACACAACAAGGGTGAGGAACTGAACGTTGACATGGTCTAATAGCAAAAAGAAGGGACAAACTTATACTTAATAATAATCAGGAAATGTGAACATAATTATCAGTCATTTACACAAATTTGCAGACTAGCTGCTGTACCAGTGTTCACTACTGAGTTCTGAAAAAGGCAAATATGCAAATTGACCTAAAAGACCACCTCAGTAATGAGATGTCCCATTCCATAAAGTCACTTCTTTTATCCTCTTTTCCCCTGAGAATTCATTTAAGTAGGAGTCTGCTAGTGGACACTAGTAAAGTATATGGGAATTCAAAAAGGAAATGGCAGCTTATCAGAAAATGTGACCATAAAGTATGTAACTATTCTTAATAATTTTCATTAGTATGTTCCCATAACCATAGAACCGTAGTGCTTCAACATGTTGATTGAGTCACTTGTTAAACAAAAGGGTCAATTCACAAAGTGTAATCAATAACCATATACCATGACCATGACTCCTCAGTGCTAAATTGCTGACTAAGTAACATGGCCCCATACTAAGAAACAAATGGATCATTGTCAATATGGAGTGACAAACTAGGCATGAAAATCAAATATAGCATGTACTTGTGCATAAATAATTACAGTCAAAGTTCATACCATATATGCAAAATATCATGTGGGAGATATCATTCATTGGCAAAAAACATAGCCATGGACCCATGGCTCTTGACTTCTTGTTGAAACTTAGGGTTACTGGTAGTAAGTTAGCTAATTGAACAATTAAAATGTAACCTTTGGTAGAGATATTTCAAAATAACGGATCAGATTTTCAGTTATTGATATCTGGCTGACATGTTAATGAAAACGCGCAAGTTATTTCCTTATTACCAGGCAGCTAAACAACAAGACAGGCCATATTTTTTCATTTACAATATGAACCAAGTAACTCACTCGAAATCAGATGAGCTTAAATCAACCCTGCCTCTACATACTTGGAAGTTTTACATTAGAAAATAAATAAGTAGAAACATCATTATATTTTGAGAGCAACCATCAAGATACGACGCCTGATGCAGAGGTTGGGTGCTTATTGGTATGGAGCTCTGACCCCAAGGCTTGCGGAATTTAAAATTCTGGTAGATGTTGATTAGAAACCATGTTTTTATTGACACGATGAAACCTGAATGTTTTTCAATTCAACATGTACTACACAATGTCCCGTTGTCCACTTAATACAATGATATAACTGGATTTAGAAGGCGTAAAATTTGCAACAGAATTCTGCCCTTAACTTAATTGTGGAGCAGATAGCAACTAATATGTAGGATGTTTTTTGTCCTACCCACACTGAAGAAAACTTAAACAATACAACTATGAGGTTTAATTCCTTCTGCTTATTTCATCCATTTTTTTAAAGCAACTTGATACATTGTGAACAAATGGCAACTGCTAAAAGACCAGACGAAAAGAATGGCCTATCTGACATCAAAACAAGTTTAAAAAAGTACAGAATACTAGGTGATTAAATCTAAAAAGGTGAATCTATTTGATGCATGAAGACTTAGACTTCAGAAGTACCTCCGTCAAAAGCCTTATTAGAGAAGTATTTGGCCTTAATGCGAGCTGCAAGTTCAGCTTGGTATCTGTTTACCTTCTGTTCATGCTCCTCGATTTTCGACTTACTGCACATGAGAATGCAAAGCATGTATTCATGTTTCATGATATCTTACAGCAACAACGAGAAGAAGATAAATTCTGTAACAAATAAGTAACTGTGCTCTGTCAAGGATGGGCAAACATGTAGATGTTCAAAATTCATGATCAATTTGGCCCTGAGGTGATGTGGAAGTATCGATTTGTCTTTTTCGAAGCCCATGTGTATTTAGTTTGTCTAAGACTTTTAACGGTGCGAGATTCCCGATATAAAAGGTTCAAATATTTACGGCAAAGAAAATAGTAGATGGAATGGAGGTGGCATGTTCAGATTAATTAGGATATAAAGAAAGTACATGACTGTCTGAAACATAAGAACCAAAGCCTCCTTCATTCTGTCATTGTTTTGCCTTATTATTCTAGCCCTAGGTCTAGTAAAGTTATATGCCACTTCTTCTCCCAAAAAGAAGTAGTATGGCACTTCCACTCGCAAAAAAGAAGCGATATGCCATTTCAAATGATAGTAAACCATAACATCTGAGTGACTTGAAACTAAGTCCAGCACAGACCTACGGAATGGTATCTGCAAGCAAAAATACAGGCTGTCCTTTTTCAGAAGATAGATTCAACTTCACAACTACTCCCTCCGTTCCAAATTACTTGTCGCAGAAATAGATGTATCTAGAACTAAAATACATCTAGATACATCCATACCCGCGACAAGTAATTCGGAACGGAGGGAGTATATCAGTTGTGTTCAAAATAATCTGCGCTTACAATTTATTGTCAGGGAAACAATTTACCACGTTACTCTCTTTTTTTCTCTCTCTCGAAAACAAAGCTTGTGTCTCGATGCATTGATAGAATGAATATTAATTACAAGCCTAAGAGTAAGCCGAAACAACCGGCCATTCAAGACAAAACCGCGTCGAATGGCTGACAGACACTCGTTACAACTGACATCAAACGCAATTTTATCCTCATTCACCATGTTACTCCTACATATTCAAAATTTTAAAGATTAACTTCTCCAGCATGGGTTTTATGTACAATTGTTTATGTACATCTGAATTCTGAAGGATCAAAATTGAACAAAACATAAAGCGCATAGGCATGAAGTCGAAATGGTATCCTTCTTGTTCTCTAGAGAACTCCATATGCTGAAGTGGAAAAGGCAAATTTGGAGGAAAACCATAGAACTGAATGGTGCGCTCCTCCCGTTGTGCACAAAGAACATTGCCGCTTTCAGACATCAAAAGGCAAAATCGACTCACCCCACTGCATCCATTGCAGTTGCAGGTTCGGACTTGACACCGAGCATGGTTCCACAATGCACAGCCGAACGCCGCCGAGCCTCCTGGAAAGTCCGCCGCCACGCGAGCCCGCAAGAAACTGAACTGAACGCGTTGGAGAAAAATGAACACTCGGATTACCGCGAAACAGAACGCGAGCCAGTTAGGGTTCGTCACCAGCAAACCTACCGATCGACTCCACGCCAGTCCAGTGCAACGGGGGAGAAGAAGCCGACGGCGGGGCTGATGGGGAGAAATTTCTCTGGGGTGGCGAGCTTCGGCGGACGGGGGTGAGGGGAGCGCTGTCGCGGAGGGCAGGGAGGCGGACTGGAGGGTGGGGAAGGCCGAAGGGGAGCGAAGGAAAGTCCAAGAGTCAACTGGGAACTCGCTTGACTATAGCTGGCCAAATGGGCCATGCGAGCACGCTCGGCACGGCCTGCCATGGCGGGACCTCCTAATCGGCGCCTTCTGCGCCGGTTAGAGCTTCCGGCGCACACGCGCGTGGACATATGGGCCGGCCCATCGCGCGAGACACCATTAATTGTCTCGCGAAAAACACACAAAAATATGTGTTCCTACAAGGAGTCGAACTCGCGCCGCGCAACTAGAAACTGACGGAGTGTTTGGCTAACCACCACACCTGCTGAGCAGTTGTGATCCATAACAACGCGAAAACTTTAAGAACCATTTTATACGCGCTATTTATTAGATTTTTGAGTTATTTGATTTTTTTTGAAAAAATTACATTTTTTAATGAAAAAGGGTTCATCAAGTTTCGAAAAAGTTCATGAATTTTTTAAGTGAATTTAAAAAACAGTTCATCAAGTTTGAAAAGAGTTCATCAATTTTAGAAAAAGTTCATCGATTTTAAAAGAAGTTCATCAATTTTGAAAAAGAAAGTTCATCGGTTTTGAAAAAGAGTTCGTCGATTTTGAAAAAGGTTCATCGATTTTGAAAAAGAGTTCATCGATTTTGAAAATGTTCATCAATTTTGAAAAGAGTTCATCGGCTTTAAAAAAAGTTCATCAATTTTGAAAAAAGTTCATCGGTTTTGAAAAAAAGTTCATCGATTTTGAAAAAAGTTCATCGATTTTCGGAAAAAGGTTCATCGATTTTGAAAAAAGTTCATCGATTTTGAAAATGTTCATCGATTTTGAAAAGAGTTCATCGGCTTTAAAAAAAGTTCATCAAATTTGAAAAAACGTTCATGAAATCCGCTGAACTTTTTGTATTGGATTAGAAAAAGAAAAAGAAGAAAGAAAACAAAAGAGAAAAATAATAAATAAAAAGAAGAAACAAGAAACAAAAAGAAAAGAAAGAAAAGGAAAAACAAAAGGATTAAAAGACGGAAGAAGCTGTTCCTGGTCAGATAAGTCGACTGCCTGTTGTGGTTATCGCAAGTTGCGTCGAAACCTGGTGCGCGTGTTCGAGTCCTGCTTGGCACCAATTTTTGCTGTTTTTTACGGAAGAAAAAAAATGAACATGGGCTGGCCCATCACGGAGGAGGGGTGTGCGCCGTGTACCGTTAACCCTGTTATGGGCGCTACGGGCGTCGTTTAGGATTCGCCTGCCATGGCCAGGCACGACACAGGCTAAACGGGCCGGGCCCGGCACATGGCACGCCCTGGGTCGTGCTTGGGCTGGTAGACTGAGCACGCGGGCCGACACAGCATGGCCCAATTACCTTCTTTTTATTTTTTTTTATATATCTCCATATGGCCCAAGAGGTAAAAAAGGCTAAAAAAACCGCCCAGTGCGCCGAAATAGCAGGCAGACTAGCGGGCTAAACGGGCCGGGCCCGGCACATGGCACGCCCTGGGTCGTGCTTGGGCTGCTAGACTGAGCATGCGGGCCGGCACGGCATGGCCCAATTATCTTCTTTTTATTTTTTTATATATCTCCATATGGCCCAAGAGGTAAAAAAGGCTAAAAAAACCGCCCAGTGCGCCGAAATAGCAGGCAGACTAGTGGGCCTGGCGTGCCGATGGGCCGTGCCTAGGCTGCAGGCTGCAGCACGCGGGCTGGCACAGCCCGTATAATAATCATGCCTCGGCGGGCCGGGTCGTGCCAGGCACGCTTAGGATAGGCCGGGTCGGGCCAGGCCGTTTGGCCAGCTATGCGCTTGACCCTCTATGAACTTGGTGGGCCCTTCTGGCCAGACCGGCAGCACCGTCAATGAGGTCGAGTTTCTTTCTGTTTCCAACGGCATACTCGAAAATGGTAAGGTCAAAAAAGAAACGACGTAAATGGTAAAGAGTAAAGTGCTAGCGGGGTGTATGTGCGTACTCTTTACTCTATTTTGTTTAAATTGGCAATTTGTTATTAAATACATTAATTATTTTACAGCTTTCATCCCTACTGTACTATAGATGCGTGTTAAAATTTGAAAATCATAAAATAAATCTTTAGATTTGTTTTTCAAAACTACAAGCATTAAGCACAAATCCCAACATTCGGAATTTGAAGCATATTACGCGCATGCAGTAGAAATCACAAATATCGGAATTTGGATCCATGGAAAAAACGCTACCTCAAGGATGGAATGCAATCGGTCGTCGCCGCCACTACTTGCGCAACGCTGTCCTTGCTCCTTCGTGGCAGGTTGCTTGTGGAGTAGTGGGAGATCCGGCTCCAGGGGCATCCAGCGCCAGCACCACCTGTCTATGAAGTGGAAGGGCGGCCGCTGCTGCTCTTCCCGCCCCGTCGTTGCTCTTCCCATGACGAGGTGGGCATGACATGGAAAAACTTGAATGGGAGATCGGGATCTCGGCGAGTAGTAGCCCCTGGACGACGAAGAAGAACTGGGATAGAGGCTGGATGGGGTCGCGACGGAGGGTTTGCCCGAGCAGTCCCGGGTTCGCTCTCACCCTTGTCCGGTAAAGCGGCCTATTTACGGTGGAGGATGGGGGAATCTGGGCTTGAGTTGAATCGTACCCATTTATGGTCCAGTATAACCGAACTTGTTTATGAGAATCTAGTAACAATGTAATTGAATGACAGGTAAAAAAAGTTTGAACCGAACACGTTCCAAACGTTCTTGGGTGTGAGACACAAAGAGGTGAACACAAGTAGACAAGAGCGCCCAAGAGTAACGAAGGAACTCAAATATGTACCCAACATTTTGAAAACATGGGAACAGAAAAAGATATATTGGAACATCAACATGCTAGAATGTACCATAAATCAAAAATATCATTTCTAGAGGAGAATCATTTGGATACCTCACAGGAAACGAGCAAATGAAGTGAAGGAAATATGCCCTAGAGGCAATAATAAAGTTGTTATTTATATTTCCTTATATCATGATAAATGTTTATTATTCATGCTACAATTGTATTAACCAGAAACTTAGTACATGTGTGAATACATAGACAAACAAAATGTCACTAGTATGCCTCTACTTTACTAGCTCGTTGAATCAATGATGGTTATGTTTCCTAACCATAGACATGAGTTGTCATTTGATTAACGGGATCACATCATTAGAGAATGATGTGATTGACTTGACCCATCCGTTAGCTTAGCACGATGATCGTTTAGTTTGTTGCTATTGCTTTCTCCATAACTTATACATGTTCCTATGACTATGAAATCATGCAACTCCCGAATACCGGAGGAACACTTTGTGTGCTACCAAAGTCACAATGTAACTGGGTGATTATAAAGGTGCTCTACAGGTGTCTCCGATGGTGTTTGTTGAGTTGACATAGATCAAGATTAGGATTTGTCACTCCGATTGTCGAAGAGGTATCTCTGGGCCCTCTCGGTAATGCACATCAATATAAGCCTTGCAAGCAATGTGATTAATGAGTTAGTTGCGGGATGATGCATTACAGAACGAGTAAAGAGACTTGACGGTAACGAAATTGAACTAGGTATTGAGATACCGACGATTGAATCTCGAGCAAGTAACATACCGATGACAAACGAAACAACGTATATCGTTATGCGGTTTGACCAATAAAGATCTTCGTAGAATATGTGGGAGCCAATATGAACACCCAGGTTCCGCTATTGGTTATTGACCGGAGACGTGTCCCAGTCATGTCTACATAGTTCTCGAACCCGTAGGGTCCGCACGCTTAATGTTCGGTGACTATCGGTATTATGAGTTTATGCGTTTTGATGTACCGAAGGTAGTTCGGAGTCCCGAATGTGATCACGGACATGACGAGGAATCTCGAAATGGTCGAGACATAAAGATTGATATATTGGATGACTATATTCGGACATCGGATAGTTCCAGGGGTCGCCAGATAATTATCGGAGTGCTGGGGGGTTATTGGAACCCCTGGGGGAACTAATGGGCCAACATGGCCTTGTGAGAGAGAGAGGAGGGGCCATAAGGCTGCCCCCCCTTGGGAGTCTGAATTGGACAAGGAGGGGGGCGGCGCCCCCTCTTTACCTCCCTCTCTCCCTCTCTCCCTCTCCTTCCTCCCCCTCCCTCCTCATAGTTGGACTAGGAAAGGGGGAGTCCTACTCCTACTAGGAGGAGGACTCCTCCCCCTCCTTGGCGCACCCCAAGGCCCGCCGGCCTCCCCCTTGCTCCTTTATATACGGGGGCAGGGGGCACCCTAGGACACACAAGTTGATTGTTTCCAGCCGTGTGTGGTGCCCCCCTCCACCATAATCCACCTCGGTCATATCGTAGTGATGCTTAGGCTAAGCCCTGTTCCGGTAGCATCATCATCACCGTCATCACGCCGTCGTGCTGACGAAGTTCTCCCTCGACACTCTGCTGGATCGTGAGTTCGTGGGATGTCATCGAGCCGAACGTGTGCAGATCACGGAGGTGCCGTACTTTCGGTACTAGGATCGGTCGATCGTAAGATGTGCAACTACATCAACCGCGTTGTCATAACGCTTCCGCTTACGGTCTATGAGGGTACGTAGACAACATTCTCCCCTCTCGTTGCTATGCATCACCATGATCTTGCGTGTGCGTAGGATTTTTTTTGAAATTACTGCGTTCCCAACATAAAGGTACTAGTGCTTGATTGGGAAGAAAAAGACAAAAAGGTACATTGGAACTTTTAAAGGATTTTTCCACCGAGCTACTGAAGTATCCTGGCCATCCCCCCTCATCGCCGATTGAACCAACGTGGGAGGCGGCTGATGCGTCTTCAACGTATCTATAATTTTTGATTATTCCATGCTATCATATTATCTATTTTGGATGTTTTATATGCATTATTATGCTATTTTATATTATTTTTGGGACTAACTTATTACCCTAGAGCCCAGTGCCAGTTTCTGTTTTTTCCTTGTTTTTGAGTTTCACAGAAAAGGAATATCAAATGGAGTCCAACGGAATAGAACTTCACGATGATTTTTCTTGGACCAGAAGACACCCAGGGGACTTGGAGTCCAAGTCAGAAGAGTCGCGAGGCGGCGGCAAGGGTGGAGGGCACGCCCTAGGGGGGCGCCCCTACCTTGTGGCCCC